ATTTATTTAGTCCCCATTTAACTTTAAATCCTTTTTTCAGGGGCTCTTTATTATGATTTTATTGCATTATGGTAAGTAAAGGATATGCTTAATTTTTATCCATTTTTTTAATGAAGTTTTTATGCCCTAACACTTGGCCAGTTTTTGTATGGGTGCCACACATAGCTGAGAAATAGGTATATTACTTTATCTTCCCATTCAGTAATTGCCAATTGCTTTTCTAAATTACTACTTCATTCCTCTCCAATTGGTCTTTTCGGTGGTGTTTTTTCTTTTTTTTTTAACTAAGTCTGAGCCCAGCTATTACAGCCCAATTATTATGCTAGTTCTTCTTGTAATTCAGTTAATTTTTCCTTTAAAATGTAGATGACATTTCATTAGGTACATGCACTGAGACTCTGGGAACACTCTGTACGTTAATTTCTTATATCATTTTATTATCTATGGTACCCTTAAGAATAATGTAGGTTCCCTGCTTATCTCTTTTAACCCTGTCTGTTTTTACTGTTGCCTTGTCTGAGATTATTTATTGCCTCTGCTTTTTAGAACTTGTGAGTCATCATAAAATAAATCATAAGTTTAACTCTATGAATATTTATGTTACCAACATGTGTCTTGGAAGCAATATATTGGGTTCTGCTTTCTAATCCATTCTGCCACCCTCCTTTACTTTATGAGCTCGTTCTATTCGTGTTCACTGTTGTTACTGTTAATTGTGCATTTTCCTGTAACATATACCTCTGATAGTTTGTACTCTCTTCCTACTGGGCCCTTCTTTGCTAAGAAGAAAGGGGGACAGACAGAGGAGGAAGCTGATCATTCCTAGGAATCTGCCACTGAAATGGTTTGTGCCTCTCCTCTCTTCACCATCCTAGATTGAGTGCTGGCTAACTTCTGTCTACTTTGCCCACTTGGACGGGGCCATTTCAATCTCATCCAAATGGTGTAGGCCAGCCCTGACTTGGGCCAGTCTGGTGGCCCAGGCCCGGAAAAGATATTCACCAAGCATAAGAGCCTCCCTGCAGTTGGATGCAGCTTCCCTAACTCTGTTGGCCATACTGAGGCATTAGTTAGAAGCCGGAGGGGAGAGCTTCCTCATCGTTCTGGCTTTTGGACTTGGGCCACAAGGATGCTACAATCAATGGTTCCAGCCTTTATCCCCCCCGAACCAATTAAATCTCATGGCCATCAATACCTTCTAATGAAAAATTAGCCTAACCTACCCTATAGGATATTGTTCTTACATCATTGAAGCTTACTTCTATTTCTATTTTGGGTTTATTATTGGCATTATTGGCATAATCTCATGCATGATTATACTGTTTCATACAGCTTATGGTTGTAAGCCACTTTCTAGTTCACTCCAGGCCGGGCCACCCAAGGCCTGTAGCTCCAGACTCCTCCTTCCCCTTTTCTGCCTAGAATTCTGAATGCCAACCCTGTGTTTCATGGACTCTGACTGGTAACCTTATCTGGACCTGTTTTCAGGCACAGCTTGCCACTTTCTGGCCATCTCCTTGCCAGGCTGCTGCCCTTCCCCTGGTCTCCTCCCCCTATACTTTTCATCTCTAGCCACACGTATTATCTTCTCCTGTTAGAATGTCAACTCCATGAGAGCAGCACCTGTCTCGTTTGCTTATATATGCATCGCCAGCACATAGCAGTGTCTGGTACATAGTAAGCATGTCATAAATGCTTTTTGCTTATTCATTCTCTTTTGGAGTTTTTCATCTCAAATCCCAAGATTTTCTCCCTCCTTCATACTAATTACAGAGGCAGAATAACATAAGAGAGCTGGCCTCAGATCCAGCAGGACCTGGATTCAGGTTCCACCTCTGATACACGGTGGCCGTGTGACCCTGAGCACTTACACTCTCCGTGTTCCAGGCAACTTTAACACTCTTGATCTTCCGTCTCTGCTAACTACGGTCCTGTTGCTCTGCTGAACTCTGTAGCTAAACTCCTCAAAAAGGCTGCTGCCAAGGCCATCTCTTGAATTTGCCCCCTTCTCTCCTCTGACACGGCCCTCACACCTCACACCTGGACAATCGCAGTGGCTTCTTGTGGCTCTGCCTGCCTTAAGTCTCTCCCCACTCCAATCCATCCTCCATTCAGCCACCAAAGGGATTTTCCTAAAGTGCATGTCAGTCATCTCCCTACTCCAGTGGCCCCCTATTGCCTCCAGGACATAAAATCCTCTGTTTGGCATTCAAAGCCCTTCACAACCTGGCCCCCTCCTTTCTTCCACTCCATTCCCTAACACACGCGGGCCACCTCCAGTCATCCTAATCTATACACTGCCACTGGACCCAGATGGCCCCGGAGGAGAAAATGAGCCTGGTGACTTTGTACAGCCCTCCCTCTCTTAAGTCTAATTCACTTGAAAGTCATAGCATCCTCTTCTTGATGTCAGGGTCCTCTTCAAGGACGAAGGACAAACAAGCCTTAACACACACTCTTCAATCCAGTGACACTAGCTGTTCCACAAACGAGCCAGTCCACTTCTGGCTATGAGCATTCTCTCTGGCTGTCCCCCATGCCTGGAACGCTCTCCCTCCTCTGTTCCAACTGCTGCCATGCCTGACTTCTTTTAAGTTCCAACTAACCTTCGACAAGCTTTCCCCAGGCCTTTTAATTCCAGTGCTTTCCCTCTTTTGATTATTTTCCATTTATCCTGTATATAGCCTGCTTTGTAAATATCGTATATATTTGTCTCCCCCATTTCTTCAGTGTCTTGACAGGTAAATTAATTACTAGGTATTTTCACTGTAGCTACTTAGAATGTAATTTCCATCCCTTTTGCTCGGTTTCACTAAGAACCAGAAAGGTATCACATCCTAGTACTTTACTACTGCTTCCAACTCTTTTTCACGGAATGCCCGCATTTAAACAAACCACTATAGTATCTACAAATAGTAATTGTCTCCTCTTTGGATACCGAATCTTTTCCTTACACCTCGCATTTCCAACACTAGATCCCATAATAACAGAAGTAATGGTCATTTCTTTTCCCCTAATCTTACTGGGAAAATTCTAGTGTCTCTCTTAAAAATAATGCTAGCTCTGAGATACTTTTGATCATATTAAGGGATGCCTGAGTATCTGAATGTGTTAAGTGCTGCATTTTATCACAGGCTTTTTCTGAACTGTGATAGACTGGAATATGATCTACCAGAATTTTAAAAATACATATACATGTTTTATTGATTTTTTTTTGTCTTTTACATCAGTTTTCTTGGAAAGACTGATTCAAGCCTTCCAACAAAGCAAAACAACCAAAACTTCCAATATAGTGATTGTAACTTCCAATTTATACAACAATCTTTGTTATGCCCTTCCCCCACACACCATGAAGGTAGTTTCAGTATCTTTCCCGAAACCTTCGTTTATCAATTATGCAGTTTCACTTCCTTATAGTGGTCTTTTAAAATTACCTTAGCGTAGTCTCTTTACAGTGATTTTTTTTTGGGGGGGGGTGGGAATCCTTCTATATCCTCAAATTTTCCCAGGTTGCTCTGGATTCCTCTATTCAGTCTTGCCTTAATGTGTAATATTCCATTATGCCAATTTTTTTATACTTCATTAATTGTGTACTGACTCATTTGCTACCAGATTACTGCTATGAAGCTTAATATGCTTGATCTTTACATGTGATAAATATGCTGAAAAATGAAATCTCTGGATCAGTGCATGAAATTTAATCATTTTACCTGCATAATTCCAAACTGCTATCCAGACTTGGACCAATCCACAGCTGTGTCAAGTATATCAGTATACCTGTTTGATTACCTTTCCATATGCTAAGCTGAGGAACTAATCCAATGTAGGCAATGAACTTACCAAGGGAAAAAGAAACTAATTTTCCAAGTGAATTATTCTAACTTAATTAAAAGTGTCATTGCTATTTAGAGAATCCTATTCCTGGACTCTGTTTTACTGCACTGGGTAACTAAGAGGGCTGGTTATTACTTTCTCTCCCAACCAGGCTGGTATCAAACTGTAGGAACTAGCCTGATGGAGGAAACTGATAAATAGCATCTCACCACTAAATAATCTCAAAGCATGATGGATTATTAGAAACCATCTTGTCCTGATCATTACTGAAAAAGAATACCCTCTAGAGTCATCATGAGGGCACCTGGTCCTGTTCTACCACCACATCTAATGGAGTGAACACATGGACAGACTGGACTGTTCAGCATGATTACTGCATTAGTAATGAGGAAAACCTATCATTATGCATGGATAAGGGGTTATTAGGAAATAGGCACAAAAGGTACTTTCGGGCACAGGGGCTCTTCTAAGTAGATACCACTTTAGTTTATTATATAGAATAACGTGTGTAAATATAACGGGGGAGACATGCAGAAGGGACCTGGAAGAAATGTGCAAAGTGTGCTGTGTATGGCTCGGCTTTGGCTTCTGGGATTTCCACCTGCCAGTATGCTGCAAGTCTGGTTTAATACCACTGGTTACTAACACCAGCAATGCTCGAGCCCAAGGAGAATTTAATATAGTAGCCTGTTTACTGTGGTTCAAATTTCCCCACCAAGCTATGGATTTGTGAACCCAGGGTTCAATTCTTGTTCAGACACAGAAATTTGCTGAAAACTTCACCTTCCCTTGCAAGAAGTAAAGCCAAAACTTCATTATGCTCAAACTCCTATTATTAAATGGGAGAGTTTCTATTTCACAAGGTTGTTCAACCAGAACTCTTTCGAGCTATCTTTGGGCTCTAACTACAATTGTATTTTAGACCCCAGGTCAAACAAGGGCACTGAGTGGACTCAACCAAGCCCTGGGATTAATTACTTCAGAGAACTACACTATCTATTCTCCTATTATGGGCAGAAAGGCCATTTTCATTTATCTACTATTTTTAATCTCTTGCTAACTTTAGCAAATTTACTGAAATTATTTATGAAACTGGTACTATAGAGGCTCTTTCAGGATCTATTCATACAACTTCAACACCTAAAGCAGGCAACATGCGTTCCAGATTAAAGGTTTTCATTTTTTTATTATTACTACGATTATTAATTTTCCCTTTCAAATCCCCAAACAATAGTGTAACTTGTGGGAAAAAAATGACACTTTAACTTTCAGTATTTAACAAGTAACAAGACTAAAGGAAGCATAGACTAGTGGGTGGGGCACCAGACTGTGTCAGGGTTTAAATAGTGCCTCATATACTTACTGGCTACATGATTCTGGGAAAGTCACTTAACGACTTTTCCTTTGTGTCCTAGTCTAGAAAATGAGGCAGTTGGACTCGATGTCCTTTTAAGGTTCTTTCTAGCTTTAAGCCTATGACCTTGTGATCCTATGAAATATTTCCCATACTAAAACCCCACAGTAAATTTTCCACACAAACCCTGTAATAAGAAGTTAAACACACATGCAAGAGTCGTTCCATGGTTCCAGAGTCAACAGTCTTCATCGTAGATGAATTCTGATGTGGTAGGTTTCCCTATGGGTCGAAATTATAGCTTTTTCACAATGACCGCATTTACGTTAATTGTCCAACAGTATGCAATCACTGATATTCTAAAATGTGTTCTAACAGACGCCCTTCCAACACTCATTGATTATACTTAAGTGATTTATCTCTAGTATGAATTTTTTTATGAGCCTTGTAAGTTTGCTTCTGCCTGAAGGACTTCCCACACTCATTACATTCAAAGGGTCTCTCTCCAGTATGGATTCTCTCATGTTCGGTAAGGTAATGCTTCTGAGTAAAAGCTTTTCCACATTCATTACATGTGTAAGGCTTCTCTCCAGTATGGATTCTCAGATGTTTACTATAGGATGTATTGTAAATGAAGGCTTTTCCACATACATTACATTTATAAGGCTTCTCTCCAGTGTGGATTCTCTGATGAACAACAAAGGATTCCCTCAGGCTGAAGTCTTTCCCACATTCATTACACTTATAACGTTTCTCCTGATTATGAGTTTTCCGATGTATACGAAAGTATCCCCGATTTCTGAAGGTTTTCCCACAGTCATTACATGTGTAACGTTTCTCTCCATGTTTTTCCTTATGTACACTAAGTCCTCCCCTGTCTCTGAAAGCTTTTCCACATTCACTACATTTAAAAGGTTTCTCTCCAGTATGAATTCTTTTATGTATATTAAGCTGTCCCACCACTCGGAAAGCTTTCCCACATTCATTACATTCAAAGGGCTTCTCTCCAGTATGAATCATTTTGTGTTTTTTTAGGTTTGCCTTCTGGCAAAAAGTTTTCCCACAGTCAATACACTCATGAAGCTTCTCTCCAGTATGAATTTTCTGGTGACAAATAAAGGATGTTTTATCAGTGAACTCTTTCCCACAGTCATTACATTTGTATGGTATCTCTCCAGTGTGAATTCTCTTGTGTTTCTTGAGGCATATCCCTCGACTGAAGGCCTTCCCACATTCATTACATATATATGGTTTCTCTCCTGTATGAATTCTTTCATGCTGAATAAGGACACAATTGTCAATGAAAGCTTTCCCACACTGTTTACATTTATATGGTTTTTCTCCAGTATGAATTCTCTGATGTTTACTAAGGTTTCCAAATTGTCTGAACACTTTGCCACATACGTTACATTCATAGGGTTTCTCCCCAGTGTGAATTCTCTGGTGTTCATTAAGGTGTTTATACTGGCTAAAAGCTTTCCCACATTCATTACATGTAAAAGGTTTCTCTCCAGTATGAATTCTTTGGTGTTGATTAAGGTGTCCTTTTTGGCTAAAGCCTTTCCCACACTGACTACACTTGTAGGGCTTTTCTCCAGTATGAATTCTTTGGTGTTTAACCAGGGATGAATCAATGCTAAAGGCTTTTCCACAGTCATTACACACGTAGGGTTTCTCTCCAGTATGAATTCTCTGATGTTGAATAAGATGTGCCTTCCGCCGATAGGCTTTTGTACATTCGTTACATTTAAAAGGCTTCTCTCCAGTATGGATTCTCTGATGTGCAATAAGGCATGAGCTACTGCTGAAGGTTTTCCCACACTGACTACAGGTATGGTGTTTCTCTCCACTGTGTAATCTGTGGTACTGAAAAAGGTCTGAGTGGTAAATGACAGGCTTCTTGCATTTATAGTTACAGATTTTCTTCCCTAAGGAATTCCTATTATGGTCAATTATGTCTGACAACTGTTTGAAGCTCTTTCCAAGTGTGTCGTGTTGACTGTGCTGTATTCCTGTAGTAGTTCTTTGTCTGGGAACGAGAACAGACCCTAACCTGAACCTTCTCCCAAAAGCATTCTGTTCATGAACATCCAAGTCTTGAGAAGTTGTTCTGTGACCCACTGTAACTTGCTGGCACCATCTCTCCTCCTTCCCCCTATGGTCTTCCAACCAGACATTAAAATCCCACGCTTCACCTAACTTAGAATTCCAGATGGGATTCTTTGAGAGTCTCTCCTTGGCTGATGCTCCCATAAAAATGCCATAATTTATAGATGGCTCCTTGATCTCATATCTTGTATTCTGAATAAAGGAATCTGAAACGAACAAAAAAAAAAAAAAACCCATCTGTTAATATCCATATTCACTTTGCTACAAGAAAGGAAACTTGTTTTTTGTTAAGTTCTATCATGCCTCGAGGAGAAGGATAACCCACTGGAAAAAGGCAGAATAATCTTTTCTTAGAAACTGAATATGGAAGAAGTGTGGAGGAAGATGAGATATTAACAGAATATCTAATTATCAGGGATTAGTTTATGTAACCTGATTCAAAATAGCCTTTCCTATAAAAGCTACAGAAACTGTTACTGTCTCTTTAAGAAAACAAATGGGGGCACCTAGACAGTACAGTGGATAGAGAACTGGCCCTGGAGTCAGGAAGACCCGAGTTCAAATCTGTTCTCAGACACATAACACTCACTAGCTGTGTGATTCTGGGCAAGTCACTTAACCCTAATTGCCTCACAAAGAAAAAACAAAACCAAACCCTATTTCTAATTATATTTTGAATGGGGGGGGGGGGGGGGGGGGGGGGGTTGTGGTGAGAACTTAAAAAGCCACTTGGGAAAAGTAGTTTAATGCAAATGTCTTTTCCCCATGAAGTCAGGGAGACGTTTCATCAGTGATCTATTTGGGTGGCAGTTTAAGAAGCTAAGGAAATGACTTGATGTGACAGAACTGTCTTAAGTCCTGTTTTATAAGGAAATCCTACAGTCTATAATGATAATTCTATGAAGAGGCTGAGAAGCTGAAAGACTCTTCTCCCTCTATACATTACCTAACCTGGGAATCTCATCAGCTCCCATGGATTTAACTGCCATCTCTATGCTGATGATTCTCAAATTTATCTTTCCAGCTCCAATCTCTCTGCAGACCACCAATCTCTCATCTCCAACTGCCTTTCAGACATCTCTAAGCGGATGTCCAGCAGACACCTTCAACTCAACAGGTCTAGAACAGAACTCATCATCATTCCCCTTGAAACATCCTCTACTCCCCCCTACATTCCCTATTACTGGAGAGGACAATGCCAGGCTCACCACCCAAGAATCATCCTGGATTCCTCACTTTCTCACACACTGTGCCACACCACCACCGCCATCCAAGCTATTGCCAAGGCCTATTGATATAACTTTCGCAACGTATCTCTTAAATAGGACCTCTTCTCTTCACTGATAGGCCCTCATCATCTCCTGCCTGGATTACTGCAATAGCTGCTGGTGGCTCTCCCTGCCTCCAGTCACCCCATTTCAATCCATCTTCCATTCAGCCACTAAAGTGATTTTTCCTAAAGCACAGGTCTGATCACGTCACACACACCCCCTACTCAATAAACTCTAGTGGTTCACTATTGCCTCCAGAACAAATAGAAAATGCTCTTTGGCATTCAAAGCCCTTCATAACCTGGCCTCCTCCTACCTTTTCCTTCTTACATCTTACTCCTCAACACATACTCTGTGATCCACTGGCCTCCTGGCTACTCCATGAACAACTCTCCTTCTCTTGACTCTAGCTACCCCTCATGCTTGGAATGCTCTCCCTTCCTCCACTCCAACTACTGACCTCCTTAAGTCCCAACTAAAATCCCACCTTCTACAGGAAGTCTTCCCCAAACCCTCTTAGACCCAGTGCTTCTCACTGTTATTTCCCATTTATCCTGTCTACAATTTATTTTTTGTATCTGTTTGCATGTTGTCTCCCCCATTATACTATACACTCTTTCAAGAGCTTTATTATTTATTGTCTTCTGCCTCTTTTTGTATCCCAGTTCTCAGCACGATGCCTAGCACATAGGAGCGTATTAACCATGAGTATTTGAAGTGACTCAGGTTATGAGTCAAAATAGTTATATAGCTTTATGCTTCCTGCCTTCATTTGTTAATTGTGAACAGGCAATAATTAAAATGTTTAAAGAGCAACTACAACCAGTAAAGTTTCTCCATTTCATTAATAACTGATATCTAATGAACTAGATTGGAGTCTTGAGATAATTAATGAAAAATTCATTAAGAAATAGTCACAGCATATCCCCAGATTACAGAACTCAAGAGGATAATAAAATTAAATATACAGCAGAGTCAAGTGGCAAACCGAAGCCGGTTGACTCCAGACCCCATCGACTTTGCTACACACAGGTTCTTCACATCAGTTAACATTTATTTTCTATGGTATTGAAAGCATTTGCAGATGTCATCAGAATACTAATTTATCAATTGGGAACATAGTGCTAATCATAACAAGGAGGAAACTGGTTAATTTTAGATACACTATTAACACTAATAAACTGGCAACATTCAGGAACCTCATGTCTAGCTGCTCATTTGTGAACCATCAGAGAAGAAAGTATGGATCCCTAACACCCAACATGGATTCAATAAGAAAACATTCACAATGAACACATCATTTCTTTTAGTGGTGAGGTTCTAGAGTCAAGGATGGGAAACTACTGTAAGGAATCTGAAAGCCAACTACTGCTTTACAGATTTAAGGTGACAGCAAATTTCAAAATAGTATCTTTCTAGAATTGGAGAAATTAAGAACAAAATTCATTTGGAGAAGCCAAAGTGAAGAATCTCAAGATGAAGAATAAAAAGAATGAAGGTTTAAGTTTACCAGATTTGAAATTATACTACAAAAGTATTTTTTTTAAAAGAAGTTTGGTACCAGTTAATATCAACAGAACAAACTTGGTAATAAAATCACAGCAGGCACACAAAAATTGGTTTTCAACTAACCTGAGAATTGGTTATTGAGATCAGAGGTAAAAGAAACTTGGTCAATAAGAGCTTCTGGAAAACCTAAAAAGCAATTTGGCAGGAACGAAGTTTGGATCTTGCACAATATACCCCAAGTAGATGTGACACAAAGGTTACATCATTTAAAAAGGTCACCTTTCATGATGATAGGTAGATGACTTTTAAAGAATAGAGGCGATTATAAAAGATAAAGTGGGCAAATTAAACTAATATGAAATTGATACAAATATGTGAGAACAAAAGCTATTCTCAAACACTTAAGTGGTTGGAGGAAATGAACGCTCTTCAAAATAGGAACTGCAAACTTATCAACTATGTGAAAATACTCCAATCACTAATAACTGAAGAAATACCTATTAAAACATTCAAGTTTCATTTCATACCATCACGTGTGCAAAGCTGAGGATGACATAACCAGATCAGATTATGACAATGACTATTTTGGCAGCAGTCTGACACAGGCAGAGAAGGGGAGAGGAGAATGGCAAAGAGATCTAAGGTGAGCACACAGGTAAGGAGGCCACTACACTCTTTTAGAGCAGGTAGGTGACATGGGCCTGAACTGGGGGTGAACTCAAAAGACAAAGGCAGATACAAGAGATGCTATGGAGATACAACCCAGGGGATCTGCCAACTGATTCTGTTTACCTGTTGTACCCAAAAAAGTCATGAAGGTGTTAAGTGGTGATGCCACAGTCAAAAATAATACCGTTATTATAAAGGGCCCTTGTGGGGAAGATGAGTTTGGTTTTAGACATGCTGAATCTAGGTTGCTCAGGGACCCTTGAAGAGGGAGGTCTCCAAGACAGCTGGGGATAAGGTTCTGGATCAAGAATGGTAATACTGTAGAAATACACTTGAGAACCAGATGCACAGGGCTGGTCACTGAAGCTATCTATAGTAGACAAATGAAACTGTCCAAAGAGAAAATGCAGAGAGAAATGGTGAGGGCCTAGTAAACGCCCTTGGGGAAGCCCCATTTTGACAGGTTTGTAAAAGAATGAGGCACCACCAAGGAAGGAGCAACTGAAGAGATAAGAACAGAAGTAGGGCACCGCGGCATGTTTTATGTTAAAAAGACACAAGGGGCTGGAAACGTATAAAGCCATAAATATGTTAAGTAATCACGTAGAAGCCATTTCTCCCCTAAAGTCTGGGGCCCCCTATGTCTCCCAGGTTGGAAATACAGTGGCTATTCGCAGGCTCAATCCCAATAATGAGGGCACAGCTTTGGCCGCCTCATTTTTTCCAACCTGATCCTGGCAGCTTGGGGGAGCCTCCACTCCTGGGAGTTCGCTGTACGGGTACCAGACTTAGTGTGTAGATACGCACAACTGGCATTAGCCTAGAGAAGCTCCTGTAACTCCCAGGGTCAAGGCATCCACCAGGCTAAGTCTTCCCCAGGAACAAGGATTACAGGTACACTACCGTGCCTTCATAGGCTACTTTTTCAAGCAGTTTAGCAGTCAAAGGGTGGCGACGATTGGGGTATTTGAGTAGACTCTCTAGGAGCCTTTTTAGGATTGGTAAAATCTGAATATATTTGTAGGCAGGAAAGAGTGAGCTTTGTGTTTCAGAGTGGGAGAAAGACGGAAAATACAAGAATATTATTGTCATAAGGATGAATGTGACAAAAACAGAAGCAGAGACATTTATGGGAAGCAATGTAAAATGAAGTAGAACTAAGAAAACAATACATGCAGTAATTACAACAAAGCGAATGGAAAGCACAAAAAATACTGAAAGTGAATACTGCAAAATTACAATGACTAAGTTTGTCCCAAAGAAGAAACCTAAGACGACACTTCTGGGCAGGGGGAAGAATTAAAAGTTTGGAAAAGTGCATATAACGGTGGGCTTTTTTTGATGCACTGTAAGTTTTGCCAAACTATTTTTCTTCCTCTTTTTTCTTTATTAAAAGAGAGAGTTTTCTTGGAACACAGATAATGTGAAAATAAAAGATATGAACACTTATTTTAAAGAAGATAAAGAAAACTGTTGCTGTTGTCTCGGATGATGGGAAGACACCTTTACTGAAGTCTTACTGTGACACATCACTGTGGCACCAAGGGGAGCCAGGGCCTAGTGGGAGGCAAGTTGTGGGCCAATCCTACTGAGCTCCAAAGCTTTCTGTACAAGGATGTCTTTCATATGAGGTCCAGCCTGGTAAAATCTGGAGACTCATCATTCCCAAGTTGGCTAAAAGATGATGTAAAATGTAAAATGACGATCAGATACATAATCAAATGAGAGAGCGTACCTCAAGTGCTTTGGAAACCTTAACATGCCACATAATTGCTAGCTATTTCGATGAAGCATTCAGCCACAGCAAATCCTAAAAATGATGCACTGTGACTGAAGTCACAATTGTTCCCAGAGGGAGTACTCACATTGAAGAAACCACACATCCCCTGAGTACTGAAGAAAGTGGGAACGGAAATCAGACTGCTATCATTTTCAGAAAGAAAATGAAATGAGAGATAATCCAGAGGACACGCTGGTCAAGAAAGACAGTAAGACAACCTCAAAGGTAAGCAAAACCAAAAACATCCTAAGTTTTTGTTTTTCCTTTTAACATAGGCAGGAAAGCTTAAAATGAAAAGAAAAGGTCTCTTTAAAGAGGAAGATACAGGGCAGCTAGGTGAGGCAGTTGATAGAGCAGCGGCCCTGGAGTCAGGACCACCTAAGTTCAAAGCCAGCCTCAGAATACTTGACACTTACTAGCTCCATGACCCTGGGCAAGTCACTTAACCCCACTGCCTAGGAAAAACGGAAAAAAAGGAAAAAAGAAAAAGAGGAAGATACATAAAGGACGAAAGAGGAGAAAATAAACATGGAGGGGCGAGGAGGGGAGAAAGGCTGAGATCCAGAGCCCAGAAGGGTGAACATCAGATAAAAGGAACAAAAGGAAGACAAGAGGAGAAGTGTTACATATTTGTTCCAGCTCAAGAGGGCCTACAGGAGATCCTTCAGACAACAGATGATCAGTAATTAGACCAAATTCAACTGCCTCCTGGTGCTGGGGCCTTTGAGGAAGGTTCCCCACTTACCATTTCAAAGGGACTCCAACTTTACTGACTATGTTCCTGTTGGCAACGACGCCATCAGCCTGGTTTCACTCACTCACTCACCTTGACAAACGCCTCCCAGGGCTTCTCTCTCTGCTATCCATGGTGCTTCTCCTCTCTCCAACTGGGAGATCACATGAGGTTTGGGGGCTGGCAGTCCTCCTGGTAGGGAAAGAAATGGCAAAGTGCTGAGAACAGAAACCCATCTCAAAATTCACTGCAGCCCCTTTTTCTTTAATAAAAAAGGGGCAGACAGAGATTAACACCAAGGACCCCAGGACTGGGAAGGGTGCTCTATACTGTGCTGCACCCAGGCAATATGGAGGTAAGATCACTGACACCATGGGATCAGAGATTTCCAGCTGCAGGGGCCTGTAGGAAGGGCCTGTATGGGGCCATGTGGTCTCACCCCTTCATTTTACAGATGAGGAATCTGAGTGGCTGTAGAAGCAAAGAAAATCAGTTTATTTTGATCCTGCCAAGAGGAAGGGAAATCTTTCATGCCTCTAGGGGTCTGTACTGGGATTTCAGGGGAAAATCTCTGCCCTGAGGGAACCCAACAGGGGAAGTAACCCAAAACTGGGATTTCCACTTGCATAAATCAAAGACCCTTCCTTGGGGCCAGGTAAACTGAGATCCCCCATTACTAGAGGGGCAGAGAGAGGCAGCAGGGTGCCATGGACATCATGCTGCTCTTAGAACATAAGCTCCTCAAAGGCAGGAACTCTTTCACTCATGTATCTGTATTCTCAGCACCTAGCACAATGCTTTACATCTCAGAGGTGCTTAATCCATGCTTGGGGAAGTCAGGAGAGACCTGTGTTCAAACTGTTGCTCAGACACTCCTAAAGTATGGGGCCAATGGAAAGGCATCAAGTGTCTGTCTCTCTGTCTCAGTCTCTCATGCTTGGCACATGGAAGCCCTTTTATAAAGGTGTGCTGATCTGCAGACTTGCTGAAACTGAAGTTTCCTCCTCTGGATGATTGCAGGGGATGACTGCAGTACTGACCTCACAGGTTTGGGGTAGGATCAAATAAGGTACCAAAAGTTAACCCCTGAAGTACAATACAAATGTCAGCCATGGTCCCCATCATCATCATCATCATCCGTAACTATTCCTAAACATTACGGTAAAACCCAGCTTGGCACTTCAGCCAGGCCACAGCCTTTACAAGTCAGGACACATGGCCAGCCCAATGGACAGATGCCAGCTCACAGAGGCAAGTTGTCCTTACCAAGGGAGACAAAGTTCTGATAGTTCTCCAGCATCACCTCCCTGTACAGGTCTTTCTGGCCCGGCTCCAAGCGTCCCCACTCCTCCTGGGTGAAGTCCACGGCCACATCCTGGAACGTCACCAGTTCCTGAAAGAGCCAACATTTCTGCTCACCCAGGAACCATCCATCACACAGAACATGAAGGTGACAGGAAGCAAGCTGGTTCTAGGAGTTGTGTATGTACCTTCTCTAGTGTTTCTAGAGGCCTCACCTTGTACAAAATTCTCCTGTCAGAGTCAGCAGTAACAGCAGCAATCACTTTATCAAAAGCCCTTTCTAAACAGATACACATGATAAGCAAGGTCCACTACCAACTGACACATTTTAGGCAGAATAAAGAGGTCAGCCACAAATGATACATTAAGGCTTGTTCTTTCTCTCATAAGGCATCATCCTTGTCAAAAATGGAAAAGAGATGGGTAAACTGGGAGTGGGATGTGGGTGAGTCAGAGGTTGCCATAATAACTGTATTTTGGGGTGAAATGTCAAGTGACAAGGATAGGAGTGGGAATAGCATGTTAACCTATGGAGAACAGCAAAAGTCAAGCTAGGGAGGGCAGCAATTCCAACCTGATGGTGTCAGAACCCCTTTCTACTTTTAAAAACCACTGAAGATAATACCACCCCCGAGAGCTTTTGTTTATGTGGCTTAGATCTATCAGCATTTGCCTTATTAAAGATTCAAATATGCTAGTGTTGTCACGAAAATAATTTTGACTTCAGGGACCCCAGACCACACTTTAAAGACTGCCAGCACAGAGCAGCAGTAATGTGTATACCAAGTTCACCGTGATTGTGTCCTGGGGCTCTTTGCCAGCATCTGGTAAAGCCTAGGGGCCCCGTCTCAGAAGATTTTTAAGTGTACAAAACAGAATACATAAGATTAGAAAGGAAGCTATATTAAAAGTTATAAAATAGTAAAACAAGTGCATGAGCTCCCCTAAAATCTATCCAGGGAACCCTTGAGGGCCTATGAACCCCAGGATGGAGTATGGCCTTGAAATAATACCATATGCGGCTCCTGTGAAGTAACTAGGAATACTTGGCATAGATAACGGAGATACCATAGCTGGCTTCAAATATCTGACCAGCTGTCACGTGGAAGATAAGATGTCTCTCTGGTCTATAAAGGGCAGAGCCAGCATGATGGGTGGAACACGTGGTGGAAGATTTAGGTTTAAGACAGGGAAAAACTTTCTACCAATTAAAGTAATGTCGAAGTGGAGCAGACACCTTTAGGAAGCAACGAGCTTGTTCTTACTGCAGGCCATCAAAAAGATGCAGATGACCACGTCTGGCCTGTTAGGAGTAGGATTCCTTTTGGGGTGTGTGGGGATGAATTAGGCACTAAGTCCCTCTCAACTTAGATTGTGTGACCTGCAACAGCAGAACAGCATCAGCTACATTTACAGACAATTACAAACTCAAATTCTTAGCATATTCTACCTCCTTTCCCCATCATTCTGCCACCCTCTGCAGGAGGAGAGGGGGGCTGCTATACCGGGATGAAAACCTTCTTATATCTGTCTTGGGACTTAGTAAGTAGAGGTTACACAGGACAGAAAAACAAATATGGAGAGAAATGGGAGAACTGAGGAATAAGCACTTTTAAAGTACACAAGAACCTTTCACAAGAGAAGCCGTTGGTAAACTGGAAAAGGCAGAAATTATGAAAACTCTCTTTTCAAACCAAAGTAGTAATCTAGAAATAAATCACGCCCATCGGTCTTTTACTGAACTCCTAAAATTTCCTCTCTTGACATCTTTTGGATGGATGACCTGGAAATGGGCACAGCGCTGGATTTGGGGGACAGGAGTAGCCTCTTCCACACACCAGTTGGGTGACCACAGGTGAGTCACTGACTTATCTGAGCTTCAGGAAATTCCCAGAGATTTATTCATTAATCAAGCTTTAAGCTGGTTGGGGTGTCAATGGCACAGAGGAAGGTGCCAAAGCCAACCAAATCATAGCTCCCAGGGCACCCGGTCATGCTTCCCTATGATTAAAAATAGATCTAACTTTCCATTTGTAATAACACAAGTATTTACTCTTTTCTGGGGTTTATTTCACAGCACCTGGCAAAGAACATTATAGAGCTAGTTCAATGAACAAGCAAAAGTTCTCCAGGAGAGAAGAGGAAACTAAGAAAATGGGGAACAGTCCCAATGTACTGTGGCCTAATGGAAAGAACACACAGGCAGCTAAATAGCTCAATGAATAGAGCACTGGGCCTCAAGTAGTGAACACCCGAGTTCAAATCTGGCCTCAGACACTTACGAGCTCTGTGATCCTGAGTAAGTCAGGTTAAATACCTGTTTGTCTTAATCCACTGGAGATGGAAATGACAAACCACTCCAGTTATCTCTGCCAAGAAAACCCCATAACAGGGTCATGAAGAGTTAGACAAGACTGAATAGCTAAATAATGATAACAACAATGGAAAAAACACACAGCAAGGAGTCCAGAGACCTCAGCTCTTGTAATCGCTGCAACTGGTGACTTTAGGGGATGACAGTTTGAGAGAAACCTGAGAAGACTCGTATAAACAGATGCAGAGGGAGATGAGCAGAACCAGGAGAATTTTTACAATAACAACGTTGTAAAAACCAACAACTGTGAAAGACTTAGGAACTCTCATCAACAATGGCCCCACTATAATTCCAGAGGCTCCACACTGAAATGTTACCCCTCTCCTAACAGATAGTGGTGGATTGAGACACATGTTTTTTGGACAAGGCCAATTTGGGAATTTGTTTTCCGTAGCAATATATGTTTGTGACAGGAGTTTTGTTTTTCTTGCCTTTTTCTCAACTGGAGGGAAAAGAGTGAAAAGGAGAGTGAAAGAAAGAAAAAGGATCTTCACTTGAAAATAAAAATTTAGTTAAAAAAAAAATGATCTTGAATGAGACACTACTTCCCTGAGCCTCAGTTTATCATGTCAGATAAAGAGAGTTGGTCTATATAATCTCCTTCAGTTCTAATGATCTATGAACTCTATAAAGTCTGAGTAGCCAGTCACCAGAGGGAGAACATTCAAGGCTCTGGTCATCCCTGGATGGGACTTCATAGAGTGGAGAGGCTGGAGGACAAGGGAAAGAGATGTGTCCACATTGTGAAAAACAAGGCGGCATGTTTCAGGAGAGAGAAGAAACCATAACTCACCATTGACCTGGCCATCAGAAGCCCAGAAGTCATTCTCTACTCCTCTGTCTAGGAAAAGGCAGAATCTGGAAAACCTGGCCTGAGGGCGAAGAAAGAATTCATGAGGGAAACAAAATTCACCGAGGGATACAACACTCTAGCCTAGGTGTGTGAGGCCCAAGATCCTTAAAGAGTAAGGTCAAAAGGGGATCCACCTCCTTCTATAATCATAAGGAAGGGCCATGGACCCCTTTGCTCATCTAACATGTTCCAAAAACAAAACTCTGGCTATAGAACTGGGACACGGGGGTTGAATTTCATTACTTCACCAGTGTCCAGCAATGAGAATTCAAGTTAGCTCTTCTGTGCCTCTGTTGCGTCCTTAATGAAAAACTGTCCAATATTTTCCACAAAGGACATAATGTGTGGGAAAAGGGTTTACTGAATTCCTTGGAGAAAACTATGATACCTACGAGCAGGTGTCTGGACCACAGAAACAGTACGCACATGCCTAATAGAAAACAAAACTCTGGGGTCAGCTAGATGGCCAAGTGGATACAGCACCGACCCTGGAGTCAGGAGGACCTGAGTTCAAATTCCCCTCAGACATTTCCTAGCTGTGTGACCCTGGCCAAGTCACTTAACCCCCACTGCCTCCAAAACAAAAAAAACCACCTCATTCTACTTGTTTCTGGGTCCACTGATGGTCAGAAGAGTCATCTTTACTATTCCAATCACTTTGAGCAGGAGATCAAATGAAGTTGCTGGGGGGCACAGTACATGAAAGGGCTGGGCCTGGAGTCAGGAAGACTGGGGTTCAAATTGTGCCTTGGACACTCGGTAGCTGTGTGGCATTAGGCAAGTCTTTACTAGTCGGCCTCAGTTCCCTCATCTGTAAAATGAGACCCCAACCTCCCAGTGTTGTGGGATATTTATTACGTGCTTAGCAGAGCACTCAGCACGTAGTAGGAGCTTCATAACAGACAGGGGCTCGAGGGAGCTGGCTGGAGCTTCTCCCCTAAGCAAGCACCTCGCTAGCTCTGAGACCCCGGGGCTCTGACAGCACCCCCTCACGGGCTTGGGGGGGAGGGGGCGGGGCAACGAGACGATGTTTGCAAAGCCCCGAACCCCTCCGTGCGCCCCACAAGCGCCACTGCAGGCTCCGGGCCCGGGTCTCCCGGGGAGCCACGCGCTCCGCCCCCACCCGCCTGGGGCGAGGCGGGGGGCGGGGGGGCACAAGCGGACCAAGTCTGCGGATGACTCCGAGTCGGGAAGGCTCAGGCCCCCAACCGAAGTCTTCAGAGAGCCGGACGCTGCGCCCCGAGCCGCACCCGCGGCCGAGGAAGGACAGCGGGGGTCGCGGCCCCAAGTCCGGCCCGGGGCGCTCGGCCGCTCCCGCCCCTCCCTCCGCGGGGTCACGTTCCCCACCTCCCCGCCCCCACCTCCCGGGCCTTACCGCGCTCCTCGCGCCTCGGGCTCGGCTCCTCCGCAGCCCCGAACGCGCCCCGATCCAGGCCGCTCCTCCCGCACCTGCCCCAGACCCCGGCCCAGCTCCCGCGCGACCGCAGCAGCCTCCGAATCCGCCCGACTCCGGAGACCGCGACGCCGAGCCGCCGGGGCCGCGCACGCACGCGAGCACGCACGCGCTCACGCAGCAGCACGCGTGCGCGTGCACACAACGGAGCTGGAGCTGAGCCTGGGGCGGGCTGGGCCGTCCCCTCCTTCCCCGTCCGCCTTCCCCGTCCCCCTTCCCCTCCTGCACGCACTCACGCACTCCGCCCGCGCGGAGGAACGGGCTCTGGGACGGCTCCTCCCTCCCTGCCCAACTACGTGGAGCCAGGACCCAGCCGCGCTGGGAAGAGTAGCGCCGCAGAAGACTCAAGAGAACGCGGGTTCGTGACCCCAGCGTGTCTCACAGAGGCATCCTGGGAAATGAAGTCAGCCCTCAAAAGGAAGGAAGGAGCCGGAGGGGGCGTGGGAAGAGGGCCATAAGGAGTCTGGGAAATGTAGGCGCGCGGCGCAGACGCACTGCAGTCTGCCACGTGGCTACTTCAGGAACGCCTCTGGTCCCTCCTCCCTTGCGCTGGCAGCGTAGGACCCCTCCTGCCCCGCGCCGCCACTGCCCCAACAAATGTTCCTTCGTGTAGTTGGGTGGGACCCCCACCTTCCTCCCAGAGTGGTCCTGGGTGCTGGTCGCACGTATCAGGAAGGAGGATTCGGCCACCCTCTAATGCCCGTGGTGCCCAGGGGCCAATAAGATTCTCATTCCCCTAAGATCAGGAAAGTATAAACACTTCAGAGACGAGACGCATTTGCCCCACTCACCCACCTTCTTCTCAGGTTCTCACTACAGGGGCAGGGCCACTTGCTCCAGAAATCTTCTGCCATAATAGTGTACTTCACCAACAAGTGGTCAGTGATTTAATTTCCTAAGTCTCCAGCATCATGGTGGACTTACATCTTTTGGTTTGTCTCATCCAGACACACACACTGCCACAATGGCACAAGGCAATACAATGGGTATCTCCCCCATTAGAATGTGAGCGTTTTGTGGGCAGGGATCATCTTACCTTTCTATTTGTATCCCCAGTACTTAGGGTAGTGTTTTGCTCATAGTGCCTCATAAATGCTTCATTCATTCATACAATCATTCATTCATTCATTAGTTTCTATTCTGCTGCTTTGCTTATCCATATTTATAAGCTGTTACCACTGGGCCAAGGGGCTTTGAAAACCTTAAAGGGCTATCTGTGTCGTTACCATCATCATTCTTATTTCATCTTCTCATCTTTCTGTTGAAGTTCAGATCGAAATAGCCTGAAGACGAGTCACTATCCGGCTGCTATTCTTTCATACTTACTGTTCTGTAGGACATTCTGTGGGACACCTGTAATCTAGGTGGATGAAATGGCTTTTTGTAATTGAGTAAGCTCCCTTGAACAGCTTTAGTCTGACTATACGAGCTGCTCCTGCTAGCTGAGGTGCTCTGCCAATGCTAAAGCACACTATAAAATGCCACCTATTATTATCACTATTATATAATTGTGCCGAAAGGAGCGCCATTGATTCACTCAAATCAAGTCGGAGGGAAAGGTGGTTACTGAAGAAGCGAACGAGGAGGTATGTGTGGAAGGAACAAGAGGGATAATAAGGGGGCCCAGGGAAGCTAAGACTGGCAAGCTGAAATGGTCAGACAGGGATACAACTATTGGATAAGGAAGAAAAATAGAGAGGAGTTTAGAAGCAAAGAGAAGGTGGCAAGGAAAATGGCAGACAGTCACAGGGATGGGGATATTACTTTGCAGGCAGGCAGAGAAACGTGGTTAGCTAAAATTGGTAAGATCCAAGATCAGGGCAATCTATTACAGGCATGGATGAGTGTCTATATGAAGAATAAGGTCGTAGGAGAGACAGTTGAAAGAATGGCTCTGAAGGAGCAATGACTCTGCCAAGTTGGTTAGGACATGTTAAGTAAAGCCAGCTGAGGTTTGTCATAAAGAAATAAGGTTATATGTTTACACCACATTGGGTTTCACAGGCCTACAGTTAAGTCATGAAAACTGCTGAAGGTCAGCAATAAAGGGAGGAATTTTAACTTCTGAACGTGTCTACCGATTACATACCAAATACGTTCTCTACACAAGAGATAACTACCTTGTACCTTAATAAAAGTACCATTTTAGGTTAACACTTCTATGGTTTAGCTCCCCTCATGTTACTGGGTAGACCAAAGGGATAAGCGTCTCTCTTCCTGAGTCTCACGGTCAATCAATCAACCAACCAATCTACATTTATTTAGCACCTACTATGTGCCAGGCACTGTGCTAAGTGCTGGGGATACAAAAAGAGACAAAAGACTGTCCCTGCCCTTGAGGAGCTTACAATCTAACGGGGAGACAACATGCAAACAAATATGTACAAAGGATAGATAGGAAATAATTAACAGAGGGAAGGCACTAGAATTAAGAGGGGTTGGGGAAAGCTTCCAGTAAAAGATGGGATTTTAGTTGGGACTTAAAGGAAGCTAAGGAGGTCAGTAGGTGGAGTTGAGGAGGGAGAGTGCTCTAGGCATGGGCGGCAGCCAGAGACAATGCCCAGAGCCAAGAGTGGAGTGCCTTATTTGTGGAACAGTCAGAAGGCCAGTGTTATTGGATTAAAGAGTAGATGTTGGAGAATAAAGTGTAAGAAGACTGGAAAGGTGGGAGGGGCAGGTTATAAAGGCTTCTGAATGCCAACCAGAGCATTTTGTATTTGACCCTGGAGGTGACAGGGAGCTACTGGAGTCTGAGGAGTTGGGTGACATGATCAGACCTGTGCTTCAGGAAAATCACATCAGTGGCTCAATGGATGGTTTGGAAAGGAGAAGAGACCATGAGGTGATGAGGGCCTGTGGGGGTGGGGGGGGGCAGTGTCAGAGGACAAATGGGGCCTTATCTGAGAGATGCTGCACGGGTGACATCAACAGGCTTAGCCACATATTGGATACAGGGAGTGGGAGAGGAATCCAGGATGACTCCTAGGTTGTGGTATTACAAGGATGGTACTGCCCTCTGCAGTCATAAAGGAAGGAGGTAGACATAGGACTGGAAGGAAGCTCCAGAACTACTATTAATCTGATGATAAAGCAATTTGAAAATAATATGTCAAGACTCATAACTAGGTCCTAAGGATCTAGAATACTGTCATAGAATCTTAGGGCATGCAAGGATCTCAGGGGCTATCTAGGGTAAGCCGTGTCTGAACAAGAATGCCTTCTACAACCTTCTGAACATCTCTATCTGTTCAAATGTTCATCCAACCTTATCTTACCACATGCAGCTGGCTTGCTGGCATGGAGGCTGCTTACCCAATGGGAAGACTATAATAGCAGGCTGGACTAGTCACAGTTTGATTACGGCTTTCATGGATACCTATTGCTATTGCTTGGGATGGGTGATAACAAGAAAATGGAAAATTGGATCAAAAGGCTCATTTGGGCATGAGTACTAAATAAGAGAAGGCATTTTGGTGTGTTATAGGACAGAATAAAATGTGCAGGTGTGAACAGGGTAAATGAGCCAAGGCAGGGACTTGATAAGAAAATGAAGAAAGAACAAGTGGGTTACATAAAGCTTGACTTGAGCTTTTTGTACATGTTTCTGTTGGAGACTTGTAAGCAGAATAATGTCGATTGCTGGGACCAAGAAAACTGTGAGCCTACTAAAAATGGTTCTCTTTATTCTTCAATTAATTGTTGGGATGTTCTCAACAATGTTGTCAATCAATGGTCATTTATCATCTTTTATTTCTTTCCTCAGCAGTTAAGATGTAACCATTATTTAATAGTACAATCATTCTCTGGAATTTCTGTATAGGTACTATTAAAAATTCCATACTTATGCAACTCTATTGCTACTTAACAGCAGCCAATATGTATTCCAGGGAAAGGGGACATCAAAGATGATCTTGACATTTTTCTCTCTCAAAGCACCAAATAATATAATAAATAGGTCATGAAAAAAATCAGACATCTGGACTCAGTGTTTAACAAATGACAAGATGAAAAAGGTATGAAGCACTGTCCACAGTATTACATCCCCAAAGTTAATGTTCTGTATAAAGCCTCTGAGGGATAAAATACACACCCTATAGTTGTCTCACAGTAACCTCATCGTTTTTCTTCAGTGTGAATTCTCTGGTGCCTCCTATAAGCTGGTGCTGAAGGCTTTCTTACATTTGTTGCACCTCTGGAGAGTCTCACTGGTATTAATTTCTGGTGTTCGTCCTATAAGGCACAATTTCCAGGTGAAGCTTTCTCGTATAATTTATGTTTAAAGGGTTTCTCTCTTGTGTGAATTTTCTTATGTGCATTATAAGTTTGCTTCTGCCTAAAGGCTCTTCCACATTCATTACATTTAAAGGGTTTCTCTCCAGTATGAATTCTTTCATGTTCAGTAAGGTAGTCTCTCTGAGTGAAAGCTTTGCCACATTCATTACATGCAAAGGGTTTCTCTCCAGTATGAGTTCTCAGATGTCTACTGTGGGATGTATTGTAACTGAAAGCTTTCCCACATATATTACATTTATAGGGCTTCTCTCCAGTGTGAATTCTCTGATGAATAATATAGGAGGCCCTTAGGCTGAAGTCCTTCCCACATTCTTTGCATTTATAGCATTTCTCTTGAGTATGAGTTCTCTGATGAATACTAAAATATCCCTTGTATCTGAAGGTTTTCCCACATTCATCACATTTATAAAGTTTCTCTTCAGCATGCTTTTCTTGATGTGCACTAAGGCTTCCCCTCTCTCGGAAGGCTTTTCCACATTCATTGCATTCAAAGGGTTTCTCTCCTGTATGAATTCTCTTATGTACACTAAGGCTTCCCCTCTCTCGGAAGGCTTTTCCACATTCATTACATTCAAAAGGCTTTTCTCCAGTATGAATCATTTTATGTTTTTTAAGGTTTGCTTTTTGGCTAAAAGTTTTCCCACATTCAATACATTCATAAAGTTTCTCTCCAGTATGAATTCTCTGATGATAAATAAAGGATGCTTTGTCAGTGAACTCTTTTCCACATTCATTACATTTATAAGGTATCTCTCCAGTATGAATTCTCTTGTGTTTTTTAAGGTATGTCCCTCGACTGAAGGCTTTTCCACAATCGCTACATACATATGGCTTTTCACCTGTATGAATTCTTTCATGTTGAATAAGGAGGTAATTATTGTTAAAAGCTTTCCCACATTGGTTACATTTATATGGTTTTTCTCCAGTATGAACTCTCTGATGCTGGTTAAGGTTTCCCAACTGCCTAAAAACTTTTCCACATTCATTACATTCAAAGGGTTTTTCTTCAGTATG